GAAGAGATTTCTCACAAAAGTTGCCATACCGCCCAACGACGTGAGCCATATATGAAAAGAGATGACGCTATACTGAAGCTACCATTTCGCTCAGAAGACATTCAGCGGAAGGCGAAGCATTTAGTCGAGCGCTCGGGGTTCCTGGTCAATGTTGTGTCTGAACACACACTCAACCTCAAAGATGCCCTCGTGAAGTCAGCGCTGAATCCATCAAAGTGCAGCATAATACAAGAAGGAGCGAGGCACGGAGAACAGCGGAGGCGAGGAAGACCGCTCAACCCCTGCATCTCATGCTCCTCTGGTTTGCCGAGCTCCATGTGTGATTCCCCCGGCATTATCTATATGATGAAGTGTGCACTGTGTCGGAAGCGGTATGCCGGCGAGACCCTCAGGGTCGCAAGAGTCCGGTTCGAGGAACACCACTATGAAGCAAGTCACAGGATGCTCGACAAACCGTGGGGTAAACACATGGCTCCTGATCACCAGCAGCACGGAGCCATCAAGAGAACAGATGTGATTTTCATTGAGGCCCAAGAACTGGCCGTGAAAACACGGATGAACAGAAGGAAACTTAGGGAGTCCATCGAGATTCGAGGGTGTCGTCCGGCGATCAATATCTCCTTCGGATGGCCACTGAAGGCGCTAGCACCCTAACAGTGAAACTGGTACTTCAAAATAAATCTTGCTGTGCCTGTACAGGGTTGTACACACAATGATCGTGGTATACACCTTCGTACACACATTTCCTGTGCTTTATCTGCTGAGCTGTTGCATACCCACTTTTTCAGCGCATTTCTCCTTGTCGGTTGTACATGCAAATTCAGACACTCAATTGCATACGGCTATTGTGTGTATGTTTTTTTAATCCCCTCTCGCTTGCTTTCGTTATAAAAGGCCAGGTTCGCTCCTTGTACATTGTTCTGACGATGGGTGACTGGCCCGAAACGTCAATAATTTTTCAACATCATCAACAAGGGGGGTTTGAAAGTTCAGGTCGCTGAAGAGAGCTTGGAAGCTCAGGGCCCTATGCTATGCCTGTTTGCCTTGATGACCCTGACAAAAAAAGCATACGGATGTTATAAATTCATATAAAATTTTCCTTTTTTTTACGTAACCTGGGATTCGAACCCGCACTATCGCCCTGCATGCATCCCCAGATACATTTCGCATACATACTAATTCTTCCACTTTATGTTACTTCACGTTGCTTCACGTTATGATCTTGCATTTGAAAGCCCTATTTGAATATGCATTGTGGTCAGCCGTCTTTGATGGCACGGTACGGTACGGGACAGATACGGGACAGGTACGGGACAGGTACGGGACAGGTACGGGACATGTACGGTCGAGGGTAATACGACACCGTCTACCGCCTTGATGACCTAGGCAAAAAAGCATAGGGATGTTATAAACTTTTCAATTCTCCTTTTTTTTAGGCATAACCTGGGTTTCGAACCCGCACTATCGCCCTACATGCATTCCCCCATACACTTCACATTCATACTCATTCTTCCAAGTTGCTTCACGTTATCATCTTTTGTCGAAAGCCCTATTTGAATATTGGGGCCAGCTGTATGTGGCCAGCTGTGTTTGATGGTACGGTACGGTACGGGACAGATACGGGATAGCGCCAGGCGTGACACAAACACACAAACACACAAACAAACAAACAAACACCAAATTAAAGCTGCGTGGACCCTGGCTAGCACCAGACGTTACTGAAGTAACGTCTTCTGCATACCTACGGGAATAAATGAATTTTCATGTAAAGAGTATATAGCAACTAAATAGAGCAGTTGTCAGTTGACAAACCCCCTTTTATTCACAAAGCAGTTGCGTGATGTCCACCACTTTCTGAAAAAAGACTTATATCCGTGGAAATACGGTATGCCATTAGATGACAACCCCTACTTTCCTCAGGTAGGCACTTCAGTCACGTGACAAGACCTGTCAAATTTTGCTGAGGTGAGAGTGCATACTTGCGTGGTATCAGCCAAGTGCATGCGCAAAACTGTACAGGTACGCACCATGCTTCGTTGTACGGGCCTGTAGTTCAGTGCATCGTGCTGCTCTGACGTTCAGCTTTCAGGAGAGCCTACATACGTCATAGTGCGTATATTTTTACGACTTGCAAGTCATGTACACTTCCAGCAAAGAGTTTTTTCACAAGGAAATGTTGTTATTACGGGTTTGGAAACGTTGCCTTTTGTCTTCAGCGTTGTGTTTCCATTCAGAAACAGTTGAGTTCTTGTTCACCAGGTTTTGCGCATAGCTGCGCAAGGAGTAAATATGGACGTATCCCCCCCATAGTGAGGAGAAGGGCTTGAGGCGGAGGAGAAAGATGCGCTGTTGTCCTACCTAAGCCAGTTTTCAAAGCACGCTGAAAGCCCACGTTTGACCCTGTTGTGCTTGAACGGCTACTGATGTTTACGGACAATCAAACGGCACAGTGGCTACAGGAGAAATCCTCCGATGAGAGGGACACTTTGATCGACGCATCCAGGCTCGCTGCACCAATATTCTGTTCGAATTTCGAGGCCGCTCGCCAGCAGACAATTCATGACTGCCGTATGGAGCAAGTGAAGGAGAAGGATCAGGTGGCACACGCAAGAGAGAACAACATCAAAAGGAAAAGGAGACTTTGAGGGAGATCACGGCTGTAGGTGGACTCTGGATCTCGAAGGAGGCAGCACAGGAGCCGCTCTCAAAAATGTTCTGTGTCACTGACGAACACCTTGCTCTCAATTCGCAGCTTTACTTCTGCAACTTGAGTTTGTTCTGCTGCAGAAGGTCCGAAGTAATTTAGTTTGCACTTTCTACTGGTACAAAAGAGCTGCCAATAGAGAAACTGGTTTCCAACATCGAATCTCTGTTTGAAGTGGCGTTAACGTGTGCACGTGCGTTGTGTATGCAGAAATTCCGCTTTCAATTCATTTTGCGTATGCTATCTCTGTGTGCTTACCTTCTGAGTGCCAGAAGAATGTCTTTTATAGCAGTTAGCAGCGGCAGTTGCCTGCTGGTGAACTCTATGTCGATATTAGCTTTTTTCTCAGCAAATCGAAGCTGTTACTATGGGGTTGCCATGGGTTACTATGGGTTGCTATGGGGTTACTATGGTGATTGTGGTAAAAATTGCCGTATTCTGGACTATTGTGAACTTGATCAGTATTTTGTTGATCCAAAAACGATTGTTGGTGTTTGTGAGAGCCGTGTGTTTGAAAATGTGACTCTGATGTTTTGCAACTATATCCACTGATAACACTTTGGGGATGCTGTTGGTGCCACCAAGAGTACATAACCCCCCAGAGTGTGCAACTCCACTATGGGTGCTGTCCCGACAGAATTTCAAGTTGACGTCATTTTGATGATGCAATGCGCACTGTACACGGATTATCAGACGAATCCGGAACCTGTGGTTGACCGAAGCCGATCGATCCTGTACAAATTATTGCAAAGAAAAACGTGTGATGCGTTGACACCCGTACACATGTTGTAAATCACTGCTCCAAGGAGCATTGCGTCATAAATAATGACGTCAACTTGAAATTCTGTCGGGACAACAGGGTATGTGGGAGTTGCACACTCTGGGGGGTTATGTACTCTTGGTGCCACAAATGGTATTGCTTTCGCCTCATGCAATTGCCTCTCTTCAACCATTCATATCTCACTTGTATCTTTGTGGATTTCAATAAAAAATTGTGTGTGACCTGGTGATTATCCACCACTGTCGATTTACGATGCTAAACCTAGGAGAAACCCGACTTGAAAAAAAACCGGCTGAAATGTCCACCCCTAGGCTTTCCTGTGTAAGAACGAGTGCTGAATGACGAATGTGATGATGTACTTCTGGAAGAACAATTTCCGACACATCCATTCATTCACATTCACACTAGGGAAGATACATCTAACTCCCGACACAACAAGGGCATGGTAGTTTAGTTGATATTCATACTTGTATATTGCAATCAATGATAACCGACCCGTTTCTGCACGTATATTGCTTCATCACAGGAGTAAAATGTATCTTTTGCTAAAGCTTTTATACACAGCAGTTGTAAAGAAATGCAGTCGGAACCATATAAGTGTATGAGACTAGCAACAATTACTGTTGAAAGCGAACGATGCAATGCGTCATTCAAACGTATAGAAGTTGAAAAATCACACTTTACAAATAAAGAAAGAAACCAGTTTAAACTCGGATACTGAGCCAGTGTAAACAAAGAATAAGAAAATGAAGGAAGTGTACATTAATTGCTCGGATACTGAGCCAGTAAGAAATTATGTCAAACACATGTGTAGTCGCATAATGAAAAACTCATGTTCTGATATTTGCTTACTCTGTATTAGTTTCTCCACCCGGGCTGAAATAGAGGGGTTCCGCACTACGTAAAGTTGGCCAACTTTACGTTAGTGTGCGGGAAAAACCCCTTGAATTCGCGAGTTTGCACCCCACTTACGGAAAGATGTCTATGTAGAGTATGTAGATAGGGCTCTGATAACGTAGCTGCTCCGTAAGTGGATTGGGGTACAACTTTATGACTCTCTCCCCAGATCGATCTGGTCGTACACTGCCGCATTCGGAGTTGCCAAGGGCAGCTACGTGATTTGAAAACTCTGTATGGCGGAACACAGATGCACATGCAGTTTACGGAAGACTTTCCATCGATCGATTACGTTTTTTACTAACGTAATTACGTTATGCGGAACCTCTCTATTATCATGATTAGACACCGGACCAAGTTTCGTGAACTTGCTTGTGTCATCCAGTATGACCGCCATTTTGTATTTATTAGTATGACCGCATGTTGTCGCGCTGAAGTTGTTTTGTGAAGTTCTTCTTTGACTTTTAGCACTGTATTGGATAGGCTGGAACTTTTAGAAAATCATCTTCTCAAGCATGGTGCTGTACTTTGCTCAGAGGTGTCTGCATAAGGTTAACTCAGCTTCAACTTTTAAATTGTTTTTGTGATATTGAACAAAAAATCTTTCATTTTCTCCAGGGATTTATCCTATAACAACCTCGAAGTATTGGAAGAACATCAGTTCGGCTATAGAAATGAAATACGTCTAATCTTGTAAGATCTTTAACACAATTTCCGATATCCATTTTAGGGTTAGCTTTCCATAATATTAAAAATGGCTTCATCTGATACTGTTAAGTCCGAGCAAGATCGGTAGAGCATGAGACTCATAATCTCAGGGTCGTGGGTTCGAGCCCCGAGTTGGGCGCCAATGTTAAGTCCGAGCAGGATAGTGATGACGGGAACAGGTAGGTTGGTGGAACGACCTCTATTAGAAACGGGACAAGAGACCAAGACGAACGAAACGACTACATGGTGATTATTGAAGAGGGAGATTATTGAAGAGAGCTTATTGAAGAGAGAGAGAGTTGAAGCGAGAGAGAGTTGAAGAGAGAGGGTTAAAGTGAGCGACGCAATATAAAGGGCCTGGTTAGCTATGGCAAACATGGACGTGCAAGTAGCTACCCAGGCCAAATGAATAATGCATGAACTTATGAATTACATGACTTGTGGGCCTAACAGATACCATGATTATCTCCAATATAAGCCAAGGGCTTTTTCCAATCAGCCTGGACCTTGGGCTTGTTATTAGATACTCAGCCATAAACAAGAGACTGGGCTTAAAGGGAAACTGAACGCCAAAAATAAGTATGGCTTATCCGAAGGAGAATTGGGCACTGATTCCGATGAGCTATGTCTTGAGCCGATCAGAGAAGAGGAACCGTGTCAAATTGGTGGTGCACAACCCTACCGATGAAGGGAAAGAAGCAGCAGAGAGACACCTACTGAGTCAAATGACTGCCACTGTCAGTTCTCAAACAAAAACAATTTTGTCAAATTGAAAAATCTCACCTGTTAGTGTTGCTCACTAGCCACTAGTGACTCGAGTTGTTCGTCTACGAAATTTGCAATTATGCACTACGGTACCAGCAAGAGTAGGTAAGTTGGCATAGAACAACAGCTATGCAACGCCATGTTCATCTCCTCTTCACTTTGGAAGGCAGTACAAGCCCCCTTCATACCTCGACATTGCCTTGGAGTGGAAGCAAATTCACCATGAGTTTTCCAATTTGCTACAATCGATCTCGGAGAGATGATCGTGTCTTCTTCATCACCACTGCAGCCTGGATAGCCTTCGGGAAGACATGTGTCACTCTCCTGCTCAAGAGATTCCTACATCTAGATTTGGTTACCGTCAGGGAACGAAATAGAGCTGCAAAACACCAAAGTAATTGTTTTCTTCCATTCAATTACACTGCTGAGCATGCACAGTATGGTGACAGCTAAGCAATACGCACGTCATCAAGCCCAATTTCCAAATATGGAAGGTGTTATTTATGAAATTTGATACGGTTCCTCTTCTCTGATCGGCTCCAGACATAGCTCATCGGAATCAGTGCCCAATTCTCCTTCGGATAAGCCATACTTATTTTTGGCGTTCAGTTTCCCTTTAAATTCATCCACCTCGTACATATGCATTGGTCCATATTTTTTTGTTCTACCAGTAGAGCAAAGTTTCCCACCAGATACGGTGAATGGCAGTTTTGTACTTCCTGATATAGAGCTTTTTAATGGACGCCTTTTCTGCCACTGCCCTGGTGATCACCTCGAGATCATTGAAAAGTGTACGAAATGCGAGAGATTTGTCTCCGCCAGCTCTTGGAGCGATTCTGAAGCTTTTTCTTTTTCGCCCAAGCCGTGGAAGGGCTTCCTGGCAACTGCTCTGACTCAACACGAGTGTCGGACATCAAATGGAGCGCCATTCCACTGCTTCTTTCACCTCCACGCATTCATTCCCATAAAAGGTGAACGGGAACTGGGCTTCACCGGTTCACTAGCGATTCAAAAATTGCTCGCGCGTGACCCCAAAAGGTGACCGACCGTTGGTACAACCTTGAAAAAGCTCTATACTGAGTCTGAACTTTTTTCGCGTGGGGATCCTGGACTTTTCTCCACAATGTGTGTATGTGACACTGTGCGACATGATCCATATAGTTCTCCATTATAAGGCCGGCGCATTATATTAGAGACTGGGCTTATATATTTTCGAAGCCCTCTTGGAGTGCGCTTATAACAGAGACTGGGCTTATACAAGAGACTGGGCTTGTAATAGAGATAACACGGTAGTTGAAAATGAATAGTGTTTGTTTGTTTGTTTGTTGATGATATTATTCGTGATGACCAGTTGCCGTCCACAAAGGAAGGGTAGCTTCCCGAAACTCTTTCCTGAAGCATTCACCCATTTGGAACCTTTTTGAAATGCCAGAGCAGCCCAGAAAAATAAATCAATAATCACGTGGGTAGGTACATGGGTAGTTTAACCCTTTGCATGCTGGCCTGCAGTAATCGGGCACTCCAGTGTACGGACTCACCTGGTGGCGTTTGGGCGCATTGCTCGGAACCAAATTTATTCTCATTTCAGTTCACCTCGATGGAATTTCATCGTCCTGGGCTTGTTGGAAAGATCATTACCAAGCAAATCCATCCTGGAAGCTCTCAGCTCCAGAGCTCCACCAGGGCCACTTCCATGACCTCTCCCAACTGGCCCACCATGCCTCGGAACGAAACAACAACTCAGTCACAAATTCTTTTTCGGCTCCTCGCTCAAATTCAACCGATTTTCACGATTCAAACTGCTCTGCAAAGCTGAGATCCACGCGCTTCATCTGATGTCCATAACGCATGCGCAGGGCAAAAGGGAAATCCCCTGGTATGCTCCAAAAAACTGCGAAGTCACGAACAAAAAAATCCACGATCACTCCAGCCCATGATTTCCGTGTTCATTTTGTCACCGCTCAGTGAAGAACTGTATATCCCTGGATAGCTGAGCTCAATACCAACGGTGTATTGTATGTGAAGAGCTGATACTCTTTCACAGAGTAACAAAGGTTTGTACACTGGTCTATTCACCACGTACACGAAGCAAACCGAAGCGCGTGTATACACATCCTCAGAGAACCGGCATGGGGTTCAGGCGCGTGTATACACGTCATCTGCACGCAAAGGGAGTTACAGCCCTTCGAAGTTGCAGAAACGTGGCGTATACTGGAATAATTGGCTTCCAGTCTTCTTCCTTTGGCACAATTATTCACTATAGTAATGTCATAACCCGGCTCGGACTTGTCGTGAAAGCGACCACCCATTGAGTTCAGCAGCCAAAAGCTGGGCTCTGAAATATTCTAGAGGTCTGTATGAACCACGATTAGTCCCGCGAAGGATTTGGCATTTTTGTTAGTTGAGAGTCATGGCTTACAACTCGTGGCCTAGAGGCGCACTGTGTGGTCGTATGTCGGCCACACCATCACTGCAAGTCGTCAGTATTGTACTCACTACATTGTTCAGTTTTAGGGGACCACGCTTAGTCCTGCAAGGGAGCCGATACCCTTGTTAGTTCAGCAAGAGTGGCTTTTCTCGTCTCCTAAGACGCAAAGGGTCGACTGTACTTCACGTACTGTAGACCCCAGGCCCGTCGCACCGACTTTGCAAGTGGGGCGGCCATGGAAGGGGGGTCGGGGGGTCCTGCCCCGGGGAAAAAATTCAAAAATTGAAGCCAATTGCAAGCATTTCCGGGTATTTGGTGCCATTTCAGTGTACGGTTACTACAATGAAAGTCTTTTTGATTCTGCAACAAACGAAGAAGGCGCCACGATCGGGGACAAACATTACCCTCCCCCGGGAAAAAAATTCAAGAATTGAAGCCAATTGCAAGCATTTCCAGGCATTTGGTGCCATTTCAGTGTAACTGCAATGAAAGACCTTTTTCTGCAACAAACCACGATCGGAGACAAGGATTTGTCACGTTTGCGCAAAACTGCGATCATTGTGCTTAGTTGTAATGTGCTAAAAAAAAAAAAACAAAAAAAACCCGAAAAAGTGGGGCGGCCTCAGCCGCCCCGGCTGTGACGACCTTGGACCCCAGGCCCGGCGGAGGGAACACAGCATTGCCGTCTACTGCTATGTTTGGGGGAAGAGCCCATATTAAGTGAAGCCACAAGAATGATACAGCTACGCTGCTGCAATGCAAAAGCATTTCCAAAAACATTTCCATCAGTTCTAATAACATGCAGGGTGAGCTAGGCAAAAAAGCATAGCGTAGGGTCCTGAGCTTCCAAGCTCTCTCGTTTATTTGTTTGTTTGTGCCATTGGCATGCCTGGCGCTATCCCGTATCTGTCCCGTATTATCAAGAGTTCCGTACCATCAAGAGAATGAGTATGTATGCGAAGTGTATCGGAGGAATGCATGCAGGCCGATAGTGCAGTGCATCGAATATTAAAGATTTGCTAAGTGTAGATACGATACTGGTTTATATATCCAGGGTTCTACCGCATCTGATCTGTCTCGATAAGTGGTACGGCTCGGAATGTGACAACATGAAAACGCCCTAAAACGATGCCTACAGTCCATTTCAAAACTATAGACGCGTAGTGTTTTGCAAAATTCGATGGGATTTATTTAAATATTTTTTATTTTTTTCTCCAGATTCCGTCTCTGCATCGCTTCACAATTCTGGCTATATACTTTGTTTTCGCTACAATTGAAGTTTATTTTTAGGCCAGGTTTTCCGGTTTTACATGTTATTTCAGTTTTGAAGGGTTTGACCAGTTTGTTTAACCCTTTGCCGGTCTAACTCAATGTATGTGAGGGGTGATCACGCAAATACATGTACACACAACCAGCAATAACTCAAGAACCATGTGATGTAGGTATGGGTAAACCATATGTTTTCAAAATCTGTATGCCTGAACGCGTCCAGAAAATTCAAATATGACTAGGTCCAGGCAAGGATAGGGCCCATGGTAGCCCTTCAAGGTGAGAGAAAATACAATTGCGAATGAAATACACGAATATCACAGCACGAAGGGCATACCAAGTTCGTGATGGAGCTGAAGTCGCACGATAAACAATCAGGTAAGGGCTACGTCTTTACAAGAAAGGTAGGCTCTCTACAATACCGCCATTGAACACCAACACCTCGCCATGGGCGATACGCCAGCAGCAGCAATTCCCATTCCACGATATCGCAGTTTCGGTTTGTTCATCTCAGCGCTGCTCG